CTTGGAGCTGCTGCTTTTCCAGGTACCAGGTGGGCAGGGCATGATCAGAGTGCTGTGGTCAGAGGCACTGCCCTGGCAGAAGCTTTACTGGTCCTTCCAGAACTAGCAGTCAGCGACGTCTTTTGGTGGGGAGGGGAAGGATGGGTGAAAGAGATTTACTTCAGCTTTAAAAAATTCTTTGTTTTTAAATTTGTTTTAAACATTTTTCTTTGTTTTTACGTTTATTTTTGAGAGACAGACGGAGACAGAGCACAAGCAGGGGAGGGGCAGAGAGAGAGAGAGAGAGGGAGACAGAGAATCCGCAGCAGGTTCCAGGCTCCGGGCCGTCGGCAAAGAGCCCGACGCGGGGCTCAAACCCACGAACCGTGAGATCATGACCTGAGCCGAAGCCGGACGCTTAACCGACTGAACCACCCACCAGGTGCCCCTAGTTTTAAAGAATTCTTAAGAAGCTTACTAACCATGGGGCGTCTGGGTGGCTCAGTCGGTTGAGCGTCCGACTTCGGCTCAGGTTGTGATCGCGCGGTCTGTGAGTTTGAGCCCTGCGTCCGGCTCTGTGCTGACGGGTCAGAGCCTGGAACCTGCTTCGGATTCTGTCTCCCTCTCTCTCTGCCCTTCCCCCGCTCATGCTCTGTCTCTCTCTCTCTCTCTCTCTCTCTGTCCAAAATAAATGAACATTAAAAAAAAATTTATAAAGAAGCCTACTGATCAAAAAGGGAAGATAACCTTGTAAAAAAAAATTCAGGCGGTCAGAAGCACAGGCTAGAAAACAAGGACTTTGTACATCTCTGTGTGTTGTTCTTTCCCGTGGGTATAAGCGTGTCGTATTCCCGCGTTTCCCCGTGCTCCCCCAAGTGCAGCCTGCTTTGTGAGTGGGTCACGGGGATTTGCCATCCCCTGCCCGTTTTAATCCTCGGGGAGTCTGCCATTGTGCCGGGGGAATGTGATGTATTCAGCCAATTCCCTCTTATTGTGTATTTGTTTCCAGATTCCCTTTTTCTCTGAGAGCATCAACGTTAGTGGGGTCTGTGTGTTATTTGAGGTTATTCTGAATAATGAATTTCTAGAGATGGAATCCTTGGTGCCACAGTTTTGCCCACTTTGTTCTGATCACCTTGGTCAAATTGCCTTTGGAAAGTTTGTACTGATTTATACTAGAATGAGCTGTGGTTGAAAACCCTCTGTGTTTGTATCATCATCGGAAAGATAAGTCTTTCTCATCTTTTCTAATCCAACAGGTAAAAAACA